CCACACCCGAGCTCATTAAGAGTTCCCTGCCTTCCTTCTGAAGAAGAGGCTGCCATGAGAAACAGTTCTCATCTCTTTGCAAAGATAGCACAGCCCTAAGAATGAATGGAGGGAGATGCTCATGTGAATTAACCCCCGCCCCACCGCCATGGTGAAGGGTGTCTCTTCCAGGCTCCAGACCCTCAGAAATGGGCACTGTGCAATTTAGCCAAAGGCAGGATGGCACTGTTGGCAGCTCACTAGCTGCTTCTCTTGGCTCTGCCAGCTGTCACTTTCTTTTCAGTCAAGACTGGTGTGATGTGACCTTGTTTACGCGCATCAGGCGATGAAGGCAGATAACCTTGGAGAAGCTCTTTTAACTGGTGGGGCAGGGAGGCTTCTAGAGGGAGGAATGAAGCTGGGAGGGGTGGGAGGGAGCCCAGCAAGGTTAGCCCCGAGGTGTAAGGCATGGACGATCCCAGGTACTGGCAATGTGCAGATGCTGTTGGGATCCCAGCATCTGGCCGGGTCATTGCTGGTTGAACAGCCAGCATTGAAATTCTCTCTCCTTTGTGGGTCTAGTTTTCTCCCTCAGTGACTTTGGCAAACAAGCAACTGTGATTGTGGCCATTTTAGTGGTTCGAGACTCAGAGTTATTTTGTTCTATTGGGACAGTATTCTCTTTGCTCCCCATTAGTTTGAGGTTCCAGGAAACTGGGTCATCCCCAGCTGAGAGAGGCAGCTCCCTGCTCTGCTCACAGGCAGATGGGGAGAAGCTCGGGCAGTTCTCCATCTGCTACCCATCACCATGGAAACCAATGGAGGATGAGAGAAGTGGGAGGAGGCAGCTCTTGCAAGGATGTGGGCAGTTCTCTTTTCCTCCGTGAATGACAAGTACCAGGGGATAGTGCTTCTCAACCTTCCATGTTAAAACCTCATACTTTATTTGTCATAAATTCTTACATTGCATTCCATCTGCACCAGGTGCTATTCTAAGTGCTTTACAAATATTACCTTCAATAAACCTCATGTATAGGTAGTACTATTTGCATTTTACAGATAAAAAACTAAGGCACAGAGAGGGCAAATCACTGCCCAAAGTGACACAGTAAATGAGTGGCAGAGCCCGGAATCAAACCCAGGCAGCCTGGGGCCTGAGTCTGTGTTCTTATACCGCCTTGCACTGCCTCTCAGGGCAGTGAGGGTTGGTGGGAAAGGTCGGCCGACAGGACCTCTCTTCAGGGAACTAGGTAACTTGATCAGCCAGGTGGAGTGCACTACCTGTGAAGGCTCATTCTGTGTGCTGAGCCTGCGTGCTGGGCGTGAGGGACTTCAGAGTTAGCAAACATGGCAGCAGAGGGCGGGACTGGGACTAGTCCATTTCAGCTCACTGTCACCTATGTCAACTCATGGTGACCCTCTAACACTTGGACAGCTGTCTAATGGGTGCCTCCCAAGCACCAAGCTGGCCACCTTCTCGGGAAATCAGACCGTGACTCTTACTGTTGGAGGGAGGATGGAATAGATGACCTCTGAGGTCTCTGTCTTCCCAGGCTTAAAAATCGAGCCTTCCACTGGGCACGTCTTAGATATAAAGGGCGTGGAAAGTAGGGGTTCTAGCATCCTCCTCTTTACAGGGTGATGGCGTCTCCTTGGGAAGGTGGCCTGGTTGCTTCCAAGAAGTCTCATTTGTTACCCTGGTGACTTAACACTCCAGGGCACATCTGGGTCCTCATGGGCTCATAGACCTGTGCTCATCAGCAAGCTGTTTCCTTTCATTTTCAGTAAAAAAATACAACTGTCACCAAAACAGAAACTCTGAAGGCTTATAAGTAGGAGCTGCTCCTCTGTAATAAGCAGGCTTACACAGGATATCAAATATCAATTAGAATCTAGTGTATCGATACACAGCACAAAACTCCTGGCTCAGCTACTTTCTGTAGCTGAACTTGCCCAGGAAGCCAGATCATAACCAATTATATCCGAGTGGCAGCTATGAGGAGTAAACAGAATGTACTATTAGATGAGCATGGACTTAGTATAAATAAGGGAATTAGTTAGATTGATGAATGTGTTTAGGGTCATTCTAAAATCGCCTGCTGTATACGCACACCTCTTGCCCTGATACTCAAAGCCTGTGACCACCTGTATCATCCCCTCCCCATGGAGCCTGACAGTGGGACAAACGCTCTGAGTCCGCCGGTGAGAGCTGCGTCCGCCTGCACAGCGCCTGGCTGTGCGCCGTCAGCATTCCCTCATCTCCTCTGGGTTTCCTTGACTGGCTGATCCCATCGTAGACAACACCTTCTTCCTTTGACCTGTTAATTCAGTCCATTGAGCTGCACTCATATTTCATGGCCTGGAAGCCAGCTTTTTTCTCTCAAGTGACTTTTTTTTTTTAATGGGAGATATTTCAAACACACAGAAAAATGCAGAGAATAATATAATAGCATATACCTGATACCCGCCACTCAGACTTAACAAATATTAACAGCCTCTTTGCTTCAGATCTTTTCCTCTTAAAGAAATAAAATATTACAGACAAGACTTTACGTCATCGTTAGAGCCCTTTTCAATCCCATGCTCCCACTTTCCCCAGAAACAACCACAGTCTGAAGCTGGTCTGTAGCCCAGGTCACTCTCAGTTTTCTATACTGTTTTATACTTAAGGTTTAACACTTGCTATGTCCTCTATCATCTCTAAGAAGTGGCATTAAGAAAGGAACTTCTAATAG